TTATTGGAAGTTAGGAAAAATTCTGATTTTACTTAATTTGCAATGCTTATTGCCAGTCATTTACAGTGTGCAGACTTTAAATGTTGGTGCTTGCGAGAATTATGAACACGAGTGATGTTTTGGGACCCACATACGCTAGTTGTCGTCAAGATGGAAAGGTATTCAGTAGAATGATAGAACAAATTGAAATAAAATTACATGAGACAATAGTTGAAAATTTATTATGAAGATGTTGGTTACATCATTTTCAGATAAACACTTATTTCCAGCTGTAATTTATAGACAAACCCTGGATATTAAATGGATAGGAGATGCGAACTTTCGCTCCTTCATTGCGAAATTCTAGGTATTCGTGTTAGATTTCCCTCGAACAACGATGTGATATTGCAATTCCCTTCGTCACCAAAAGGCGGATCTGTAAAAAACTCAGGCAATATGTTCGTCATGGAGTGAATATTTTACTAGAAACTCAATTTAGATCAGACAGAATGCCGGTTAAAAGATCACTTTATTAAGTAAATGAAATACAAATAGGTGGTGTCTTACAATTAGACCACGTGTTATCAGACCACGGAAAATGGGTCGTAGATAGAACACTAAACCCATATTCACTAAATAATTTATAAAGATTGCATATATTATTTCACCCACTCAATCGACTCGAAGGAATCATTAGAGCACGTGTTTGCTGAGTAAATTTTTCTGCAAATATCCAAGTTTCAAAAGAAAAACTTCGGTAATTTGATATTCTGCGGTAGTAAACACACAAATATTCAGATACAACTTCAGAGACTTAAACAGCATATTTTCTTGAAAAATTGTTTCCATAATGCTGGTTTTTGTAATTAACTATACTCAGTTACTCATACACCGTATAACACGCTCATTACCTACCAGGCAAATGTTAGTCGCATTAGTGCCACTCTACCTGGAGTTAAAAAATATAACTCAGTACTCGCTGCAGTGAGTGCCAGAGAGCGCATTTTCTCGTCGACGAAAACGTGAAGTCACGGATGGACAGACGGACAGGCGGACATGACGAGCACAATAGCGCCTTTATTTCTATAAATGAGAAAATGCGCTAAAAACGGTGTGTGTGGTCTGCGAGATTTGAATAAGGTGAAAATTTCGATTGAGTTTGAAGGCGGGCAACAAGGATAATGAGAAGATTAAAGAGAACGTTAAATATAAAGTATAAATATATGCTATAATATATACACGTAGAAAGATTAGGACTTATGAAGCTATTTGAGGCCTGTGCCCATCGACGTCTATAAGTAGGGACATAATAGCGGTATATTTATTACTGATGGTTTGTGGACAGTTTCTGCAAGTCAACATGGAATAATAACAAATACCAGAAACCATGAGATTAAACTGTAAAACTGCGGTGCAGCTCCACCATGAGACATTACCTATTTTACATTATTTTACATTACCATTATTATTTATTTATTTTACATTACATTACCTATTTTACATTACGTGTCACCAACTTGCGGAAAGTCGTTAAGTTTATTAGCATGAAGGGTAATTTGAAGAGGTCTGATCAAAAGACCAGTTTCAGACCTCCCGAAAACAAGTCGCGAATATTACAAGAGGCCAGTCTTCGTATTGCCGGTTATATTCGCTTATTATACGGAATATTGAGTTGGGTTGTCGTGGTTATAGTGATAGCCAACAGGGTCAGTGCTCTGCATACAACTGTTGCATTAAAATCCGTTTTTGCACGAGACATCACATTACATTAAAACTTGTTCATTAAAATAGGACGTAATGCAGGCTAACTTTCAGGGGCTTTTTGATACGCTCAAAAAGCCCTTTTACGATCGTTGTCCTTTTCAAGGGCAAGGATTAAAGTTCTGTTCACACTTTATCAAACACGTGACAATAACTTGGAGTCCACATTCCAACTGCTACTTCTTTCCTACGTGCAATCCTGTCTGTTACAACACTATCTACAACATTCTTACAATAATACCACTCTCATAGAAAAATTCCAGCGCATATATCTGGTAAAAAAACTAAAAATACAGTAATTTTTAAATCAAGCCCTCTTCAGATTCTACAGATTTAAGTAAATTGTTGTTGGATTCATATTAACGTATCAAATACATTGATTTGAACGAAATGCCGATCAGCATTCTGAAGTTGCGTGAGATAGAAGCAACAGGTCGCTTCGTCTCTGCAGAATTTAATTCTACCCTCACAATTGCCCTCAGCCTGCTTGAGGGTGAGCACGCATAACTTAATAATAAAAACAAAGTTGTGAAGCAAATTTTAAGAAATCATTTCGTCGTGCACTAAAAAATTAGTCGACCTACAAGACCCAGGCGCAGGAAACAAGAATCTGGTGAGAAATGGCTTTGTTTAACCAGAAGTTCGAAAATTATTGGTACCTGTTGTTCATGTAATAATTGTAAATATTTATGAACAATGATAAAATTTGGCAGCTATGCGCTTCTTCTTGCGTAGAAATGAATATATTTGTGAAGAAATAGCTACTGACTTTGCTACTTCCGTGGTGAATTCATCCACCAAGATAGTTAGGGCTAAATTTACTTCAGATAATTTACCCTAAGCGTTTTAATAATGAGACTCATCCATTGTCAGTTGTGCAGCTATGGGCATTTTCTTTATTTCTGATGGCAGCCATTCTTATTCCACGGGATTAAGCAGAGGGTTAGTAATAAGATTCCACATTTCGTGCCTCCCACAATACAATTCCTATCTGAAGGATGATTCCAAAACATTCCACACCAGTCTTCATATTTCACAGAGCCTCAACGAACATACTAAGTACAACATCATGCACTTGTTCCAACATTCCACACTAGCTCCATCATTCCACACTTGCTCCATCATTCCACACTGTCTCCAACATTCTACACTTGCTCCATCATTCCACACTTGCTTCATCATTCCACACTAGCTCCATCATTCCACACTGTCTCCAACATTCTACACTTGCTCCAACATTCCACACTTGCTCAATACATTCTACACTTGCTCCATCATTCCACACTTGCTTCATCATTCCACACTAGCTCCATCATTCCACACTGTCTCCAACATTCTACACTTGCTCCAACATTCCACACTTGCTCAATCATTCCACACTAGCTCAATCATTCCACACTGTCTCCAACATTCCACACTTGCTCCAACATTCCACACTTGCTCCAACGTTCCACACTGTCTCCAACATTCCACACAGGCTCCAACATTCAACTCTGTCTCCAACATTCCACACAGGCTCCAATATTCAACACTGTCTCCAACATTCCACACTTGCCCCAACATTCCACACTTGCTCCAACGTTCCACACTTGCCCCAACATTCCACACTTGCTCCAACATTCCACACTTGCTCCAACATTCCACACTTGCTCCAACGTTCCACACTGTCTCCAACATTCCACACAGGCTCCAATATTCAACACTGTCTCCAACATTCCACAATTGCCCCAACATTCCACACTTGCTCCAACATTCCACACTGGCTCCTACATTCCACACTGGTTCCAACATTACGCATTGATTCTAACATTTTGCACCGGTTTCAACATTTCGCTCTGCTTTCAATATCCCGCACTGGTTTTAATGAACCTCCCAACCTCAACCTAAAAGAAATCCTACTCTGGGTTTGGGTAGAAAAAGAAGTTGCATCTGCAGAGTCACGTAAAACCGCAGCCTTTCTGGTCGAACAATTTCTGGGACAGAAATTTCTTAAACATTGGTCTCGACTTGCCTCTGAAGTCGCCTGGTGCAATCTTTATTTGTTTTCCAGTTTTCAGCAGGCAAACTGCGGGACGATTCTTCCTTGGTTCCCTTGAGGTAGGATTTTCTCGGGACTAAGTTTTCAGTTTTAGAACTACTCCCGCAGGCTTGTGGTGGTCTCCACTATAGTGAAAAAATATAACTCAGTACTCACTGCAGTGAGTGAGCGCATTTTCTCGTCGACGAAAACGTGAAGTCACGGACGGACAGACAGGCGGACTGACGGACGGACATTGCGAGCACAAAAGCGTTTTCTTTCCATATATGAGAAAATGCGATAAAAATGCCATTTACATATTAGCCAAGAAAACGTTTAGCATGTTTACCATGCCTTCTGCCCTTTTAACATCTTGGTGAACTAGCGATTTAAGCAAACTACTGGTATATGTACATTCATTTAAATATTTTATTATGCAAGGTGAAGAATGTATAGCGAATAAGTTAGACTGATTGAGTACATATAAATTCAATTCAAATAAAATAAAGGTTGAAAATTAAAATGCATGCGATGAATACCACATTAGAAAATAAAGTGATCAAATGTTCAATTAATCAGGCGTCATTTCAAAAATATTGCGCTGGTATAATAGTTCATTACCTCCTTTAATATAGTTCCTGATATAAGTTATTTTTTTCTATTGATTATAATCGGTTGGGGACTTATAGCTTACTTATAAAATTGTAAATTTGTCTGCTTAAGTCAGGGATTAAATGTCACTACAATTACCAGTGGATATAACATCGAACCAAAATCAACTATCGTAAAGCTGACAAAGAAGAGATATCAAGGAGCTATTTTGAATATCAGATTTAATCGTTCAGTCACTCTTTTCTGAATGATTCATATGAAAGCTCATTTTATAATCAAGACCGAATCTTGGTGCGCGAATCGTGAAGCTCTAAGTTCCATAATACCGCATTTGTACCTTAAAAAAGTAGAAATTTGTTCAAAAACACATTCTATTGCTGACAAAGTAGGCATCTCGACCGAACAAACTAAAAACTGTTTGTAAATCAACTAAGATATCGATTTATTTATTGCGAATCGTTCCAAAGGAACAAAGGCTGGATCAAATTAATTTCAATCAAAATTGAAAAATGGTAAATGAAATTTAAAACATTTACATCCATACAATTCTCTGCAGTGACCTTTGATTATTAGCAATGAACGGACTTGAAAGGCGAGTTAGACTTTATCGAAAATCTTGAGATAATCTCACCTGCCACTGAAGAGGCCATCAATAAAATCATTAATAAATCCATATTAAATCTTTTCAAAATCTCAGTCAAAGATTATTGTGGAAGTTTCATGACAGAAATATATTTTAGTTTTTCGAGTCCGTCATTGAGATGACGTGTAAATTGTGAAGGCAGAAAACACGAAGAACTTCGCACTTGGCTTCATGCGCTCCACGACACTGACACAGAACCACTCACGAGGAAGTGTCAGCACACACTGAAGAGGGCTAGGTCAGCTAAGCCCTCTCTCGTCCTTATGGTAAAGTTCACCCATAAAAATATCTATTCGAGCGGATAAATGTTCTGCAAATCAAAGAAAACGAGAATGTGCTTGTATTGCTGGGTAGGAAACACTCTGGTTCAGAACATGCAGCAGCTGGAAACCCTTGCTCTAATATTGATGAGAAAAAAAATTATCTTAGAATTTCAAAAAATGGCACATAACAGTAGATCTTGTATGATCAGCTCGATTTTTCGCTACCTTACTTTGCTTGCTGTGTTTGAAAATATTTTTGATTTCTATCCTGTTGATCCAAAATTTATCCTACCTTTTTGAACAATTTATTCAACCCATCCTTGTACTGTACTTGGTCCAAATGATTCGCGCTATAGGATTTCAAACTTTTCATTAAAATTTAATATTTAATTAGACTTTGAGCTTTAAACAAAGTTCAAGGATCAGTCCCAGCATTTTGTTTCAACGTTAACGTGTTTTCTAGAGACGCGCTAATCGAGTTTTCGGTTTAAGAGACAAATTTTAACAAACTAAACTGAACACTCCAACTTCCAGAGCGTTGTAAACTAAACAGGGAATTCAAGTTTTGTGACTCAAACAAACAGCCGCTAACTTTACGTAATGTTTGAAATTTGTGGGATGTACTATCTTCTATATTTAATTGAATTTTTTACGTAGTGAAAGTTTTATGTACCAGCCTCCTAAAAAAACTGAACTGAAAACAAAGCAAATACTCCCTGAAATTTTTCAACTATGAGCGGAAGACTTACAATTGAAACAATTCAAGGGATTTAACGTTACAGCCGAACATCTCCGACTTTGAAATAGAAGAAGAGGTTTTATGTTAGACTCGACGCCAAAACAAATAATATTACTAGTTTAAATTACTGAATTATAATGATATATCCTAAATACAATTAACAATACAACGTTTAATCTTGCACATCTGCAATACTTATTTTCCTTCACAGGGCTAGAAGGTGCTTCCGTTACTACAAGTCTAAAATCTATTAAAATATACTGATTTTTTTTTTATTTTGTTGTATTTGTGCTTTAAAACAAACTAGTTGCATGAAGCTTGAACACTCAGAAAATTCATGTTCATATTGTGCAAATAGCGACACACTTTCTAACTAACCGCGCCAGCCGAAAGCGGACGTAACTCGTACATTTTTCACCTGACTAAACTGTATCAGCAAAACCCACACATGAGGGATAAGTGCATCGCTTTTATGGACAAAGGCTCACTCAAAAAGCTCAATTTCTACCTTTGGTCTCTTCAAGAAAACGATTAAGATTGGATAAAGAGCAGTAGACCAACGCTTGGAAACCTTCACTCCGAATCACTGCGTACCTCGGGGCGCCTTCTAGGATCTATTGCCTGCGTAATATGAAGCGGGGTCTTTGGTAGCGAATTTCTTGACTAAAGGCGCATCGATGAGAACCATGCAAATTTTATGCAAAGGGTCGCTCTCTAAAGCTTTCAAATGAAAGACAGGAGCCAAAAGCTACCGCATCAACCGTGCGTTCAACTCCAGCATTCCGACGCAGACATCAAACGCGGTATTCCAATTAACGTTTTTTCACAAAATTTAGAAATTTTTGCCGGAAAACTCCTACCCGAATGAATGAATTGAGTTGTTTATCCGCCATGGACCATAGGTGAAACATGAATGCTGGTTTAAACTCTCGTATTTTTAAGACCAAATTTTCACATGTTCAAAAATGTATAGCATATGTTTTTATACACATATATGACTAATTTTCACGCTTTAAAAAAAATTACATGAGATCGACGTAATAGCATTTCGGGTTGAGACAATAAAATAGCATGAGGTCAGCTTTTTTACGTTCATTGAAAGCTATTCTTTGCTGATCCCAAGTCGTTTGATGCAGCCATTAGCTCTCAGAAATGCCGTTAAAGGGAAAACAAGACTCGCTTGGTGCAATCAAATGACCAGAATTGCCCTCCGAACGCTCCTTTCGCTCACTCACCTGCCTTGTGATGCATGAGAAGAGTTCAAATGTGAAAGTTCTTGTCGTTTCATGAAATATAAAGCAGTGTGCACAAATATATAGTACAAAATCATATAGTTTTGCTCACTCGCCAGCCTCGTGATGCATGAGAAAAATTCAACTATGAAAGCTCGTGTCGTTTCCTGAAATACGATGCAATTTGCATAATTATATAGTGGAAAGTTTAACAGATATATGTTTGACAATGTTTTAGTGCTTCAGTGGAACTTAAAATCGATGCTCAACTCAAGTAGCGTGGCCTTGCGAACTCATCCGAAGTTTTACTGATGAGGAGTTTGTAATGGTAACTATACAGTATAAATATTAATTATTGATTTCTAAAAAATAACTGTGGGTAATTTCTAACTATTCTTCATAGATAATTTCAAGGAAAATTAAATAAATTTGTTCTTTCCGCATAATAATTCCCATAGCTGACTATTACTATTTAGAATGCTTTTATTAATAATCAAATTTATATTGGCTTCCACTTCAAAATTCGTCGGATTTTAACGCTATTTTGCATGTAATTTCATCAGTATTGTATGGACGAAAGCATGTAATTATAATCATTTATTTTTCATCATGCTTTACTCCAAAAAGTTTAAAAAATCTGTTGACTCACTTCATGAATTTTCTAACTTTAAATCATTATCCTATTTAAATTTTGTTTTTTTTTTAAAGCCGTTTATGCAAATATAATGCTCTGAACTCCATTTCATTTTAAATATTGCTGGATTTAAAATATCTTTGGAAATATCTTTGGGAACATGTTTGGAAATATATTTGGAAATATCTTTGTGTGTATCGTGTTTCGAGTTAGCAGCCAAGCTGCACTGCCGTTGCGTTAGGCCGCCTACGAAGCTTATGATGGACTGGGCCATAATTCTCTGCCCCGATAACACGAGTGATAAGACTAAATAATTCCACGTCCGCTGGGCGTCATCCATCATTAAGCATCGCTCCTGAGATTCAACCAACGAATTGTGATGATCAGCTGCAGGACAGCTTTGGGATGGCCGGATTTATGGGCCAGTGAGGGTGAGATTAAGTCTGAAAAATGAGGTAAATATGAGTGGGATTCGAGAGCCATACGAGGTAATGCTCTAAAATATACAGCTGAAGTGCTCTCATAATAAAGTGTTCAGGTTTAACGGTGGTTTTGGACTTAAAAATGTTGACATTGAAAAAAAAAATTATTGGGCAAACATTTAATGAAGTAAGCAAATGATAATTTGCGCAGTTATGAATACGAAAAGATTTAGAGCGAAATGAGGAATAGCAAATAATTTGAAAAAAAAACAGCAAACATTTAAACGCTGTTTCCAACCTGATTGCCAATATTATAATTAGTTCATAGCTTCAGAAATTTACCGAAATTTTACTAAACTTCTGCATCTACATGAACTACAGGAAAAATAGCATGTGTAACTAAAGGAATAATACACGCGTTACTATAATAGGATTGGCTTGGATAAATTTTCAGGACTACGAGAGTTTCTGAAGCGCTGTAAAAGTTGAAGAATTAATTACAAAATGAATTATATTTGATTTTAATTATACCTTGGATGCGGCTGACCGGATAAATCAAAGGCTTTTAATACGTTCAAGAGTTCAAGTTTAGCCGATTCCGTTCGTGTTTCGATTAATTGAATCAAACTCATGAAGTACATCCACGTCGCATCTATTTTTTTCATTGCTTCTCATTTGAAATTCAAAGTCCATTTTGCTTTCAACGCTTGAAGAACACCATTTTGAGACGCAGAAATACGATTCCTTAGATCTTTATGAAGTGCGTCAAATCAACAAATTTACAGTACTTTTGATAAAAATATATATATTTTTAAAAATAAACAAAAAAATACTTCTGAAAAAATCACGACTTTGTTACATGTTTGAATGCCATAAATGTATGCCTAAGTGGATGCCGTCAAGCAAGTTCTAGATTCCAAAATATTATCGTATTTATTCATGACGAGTGCTATTAATAGAATCACGTCTACTAAATTCTCATATATTTTCAGCTTATTTTGTCAGCTACAAACTCTTACGAAAATTCAAGCGGTGCTACAAGATTGAACCTCACGTTGTTCTATTCTTCAATTGCGTTTGAGCCACGAAAAACAGCTATTCTTTGCTTAGAGCTATTCTTTGCTTAGCATCTTAAATTACTTCAGCTTCCGTAGAAGGCTTGTGGAATTTATTATGCCTTACAGCCATCTTATTACGGGGCCCTGAAATTTGTTGCTGCAATTGGGCCTGCGAGAGTTACGCTCCTTAGCATATCCAGCATCTGTTCAAGTTTGTTTAGATAGCAATCAAACTTGGATTTAATTATCAGTTAATTGAAATTTTCACATTGCACGTTATTACTGAATTTCTGTTATTGTCTTCTATGAAGCTCATAAGCTCATTTCACTCGGAACCTATTTTTAAGTTAATAATCATTATTTTGGTATTGTATTATTGATTACTACCACTATGTGGTTAATAATAATGATCAAAATTAAAGTTTTAATGTCTCACATTCGATAGTTCTCATCAATGTCAAAGCATCTTGACCTTCTATCGAACAACAGTTTGAACTTATCGGAGCCTGATGGAACTAATTCTTTTCAGCCTCATCCTCGTACATATTTAATTTTCGTTTCCAGACACTCGTTGTAACTAGGAGAGTTGCACCAGGGATGTCTCACAATCCTTCATAGCACTCCATTTACACTTCATATAAGATATTCCAGTTGACTCAACTATTGTAATCCACTGAAAAAGTGTAAATAAGCTTATTTTTCGCCCGTTTGCTTCCACTGGATCCCCTGTGTTTTGTAGATTCAACTTATAAATATCGTGAACTGCCATTAAAAAAAGTCACGCTTAAAAATATGTTACTTGGATATGCATCTATTTCTGATGAACATCCATTCAAAAAAATACCAATGCAAATGAGAAAATA